ATTTTACGTTTTTTAACAAAAATATTAAATTATACACTAATCTAAATGAAAAAAAAAATCTAAATTTAGACAGCAAATGTCTACAAATCCATAAGCTAAATTTTTATTGATGTTGGTGTTTGCTGTAAACAAAGTTCTGTTTTTCCTCTTGTGGTTTTCAATATATTGCTGCTGTAATTAGATTCAGAGTGAAATTGGAGGGTTGCTGTTTGGGACTCGCATTGCAGCGAGTGGGTTTATGTTCACACCTATGCTGTCACTACATCTGCCACTGTTCAGTCTCTGATGGTCCAGTAGACAATCTCAATTTGAAATTAGATGACAAAGAAATGGATGCCATTCTCATACACATCGTAGGTTATGCGCTACAGATGGTTAAAGATACTCAAAGGGAGGCGGAGATGTGTGGTGGGACCATACACAACGCTCTGCCGTCTAAATCAGAGTGTTAATTTAACAATGTAACAATGCAATTTTTTTTTCCTCCTCCCTCATTTCATTTTGGACTGACGCGCGGTATATTATTGCGTTTAACACCTATCCCTGGAAGAGCTTAATACCCAGCTCCTACAGCTCTGCTCCCCTCTGTCAGAACATCGTTTTCTCCCTCTGTGATACCACCACAGAGACTGGGGATGGCAAGTGCCTCAGTACAACTCTGCCGTGTGATAGTGTTTCAAACAGGAGATGGCGTATGGGAGAAGCAGAATGCATTGGGGGTGAGGGGGTGGGCTTGGTTGTTCGAGGCACGTTGCCAATGTGGGATGCCTAAGATCGGCAAGGCTGATAATTCCCAGGCATGGCGGGCAATAACCCAGATGTTAGGATGTAATATCACAGCTGTGGATGGACAGTGCTGAGGTACCAGCCAAATAGACCTGGGTCTGAGCTCATCATGCTTGTCCCCATGCTGTCCCACCATATGGAAGCAATCGCACAGTCCTTTTAGGACCAGGAATAGATTCTCTTTAGGGGCCACTTACAGTTAAGTGGAATTGTTTTATTGGCCGCTGAGATAGAAATGTGTCCAAGATAAACACTTGGGATGACTTGGCTGAGGCCTGTTTTATATCGCTCCCCTTCTCCCTCTGTTCCTCTTCGTTTGAAGGGGCTGATATTTATAGGGCTGCGCTTGTGGTATTCCATGTTAATTCAGGTCCCTGAGATATGCTTTGATCCCCTCCGGATTGGGTGGCAATGTGGGTTGCGACCCTGCAGTGATGAGGAGGGGCCGGAGTAGCAGGGGAGTTGCAAGCGAGGCCGTTTGAAGCGGCGTCGCCGGGGCAGCCGAAGGAGCGAGGCAATCAAAGAGGCTAGAGCAGATTACGCTCCTGCTCTTTAATTACAGGCAGCTCTACACAACCTCTGTGCTGTTTGTTTTTACAGCCCTGGCCTATCACCGCACGGCCTCATGGGAACTCAGAACATGGAAACATATCAAGGCTTCTCTTCCTCTCACTCTCACTCCCACCGTGGCACACRGCACAGAGAAGTGGATTATTTGCTGGGCTGTCCTTCATTTCCTAGGTGTTTTGAAAACAAATGACTTTGGTTAGTTTTATAGCTGCATTTTAGTTAGAAAAATATTCTTCTGGTCAAATTAAAAGTGGATGAATCAGCCAACGTGCAGTAAACTCTGATGCTGGCCATACATACATACTCCATGTATGCATAATTTGCTGATGAGAGAGCTGTGCGGTCTGCATCATTACTCACTGCTGCCTGCTGTCTCGGGTGCAGTATGCCAAGTGTCCTGCCTCCCCACACTCAGTCTGGGAGCCAGTGATGAGTGGGACTGTCACAGCCAGGGACATCTGGCTGCTCGCTGACGTTCCTCTCTTCCTCTTTTTCCAGGAGCCTCCGCGGTGTGCCTCGCTTGTCAGTAGAGATGTGCTAATGTGCTCCAATAGAGATGCTACTGTATAGTGTAAACCTTTGTCCTACTTCTGTGCACTATGTGAACATGATGATATGTCAGGCAGGTAAAAGGAGGGGAAAGTGCAATGTGTTCATGTGAGGAGTTAAAAGAAAGGGAGATGGAAAGTAAAAAAAAAAAAGGGACTAAAAGAAGCCGTAACTGTGTCTTTGTGTGTGTTTCTGCCCTGCAGCAGAACCAAAACTATTCCCCACGCCCAGTGGAAGCACCAAAGAACCAGACGAAGAACCAGATGTGGACTGGTGTGCTTCATATCACTTTAGTAGAGGGACAGGACCTGCCGCAGTGTGGGCAGGGCGACATTTATGTCCGCTTTCGCCTCGGCGATCAGAAGTACAAGAGCAAGGTTGGGCTTATGTTTTACTTTGAATTTTTTTATTCTACCAAAGACATTTTTTTCCTTCTTTTCTCTAATGTCTCTCGGTCTTATCTTTGCTTGATCTTTATGGTTTGACTTTCTTCTCGCTCTTATCCTTTACTTCACAGCTTTTCTCCTCCCAGCAGGTGCCCGTCTGCGACTCACCTCCACCTTGGCTCACTGGGCCATGGCAGAGGCAGCTCATTAGACTGGGCAAGGCTGCCACTCACTTCTTAGTGTGCCACTGGTGCCGGGCTTCATTGCCTTCATTTACATACCCAGCATGCCC